CAGTGGATTCCAACAAAATGCAGATTAAGACTTCAGAAGACTTTTAAAAATGATAAATTTAAATTTGTTTCCTTAATTGGCTTTAAAAAATTCATATCTTTTTCCCTTTAATGTAATAAAATCGCAAAGTTCTTGTGTGAAAAGTTTGTTTTCAGTTGGCAATAAAAAATTACTATTATCAACAAATTGACAAAATTTGGACAATTTGTACAAATGATCGCAGAAATAATGAGTTTAAATTTAATTCTCTATTTGGCAATAAAAATAAATCGTTTTAGTAATAAAAAATAAAGACTCTGGAAATTTAAATTTGTTTCCCTTATTGGCTTCGAAAAAACTAATTTTGCAATTTCACGAATTTTTACTTTTTATGTATTTTGTTAAATTGTCTCAAAACTATACCTCAAGCTGTCTACACCTTTGTAGACATTTGCATAAAGACTATTACGTCACTGTTTTGCCTTTTTCAGATCACCCTTTCCGCTTTTCTATCGTTTTCATTTGATTTTCTTGAAGAGTGTCAGCCACATTTACGCAAAATGTCAACAACTGTCAGATTGAATGATTGAAATCCAACGCATTCTTAGTGATGTTTTTTTAAACGTAAATTTAGGCACTTTTAGACCTTTTTTCTCTATGAAACTCAACTACTTTGTAGAATTATGACTGAATTTTTGTTTCTTATCTTCACTCAATCTCTATTTTTTGTCGTTTTCTACTTTTAGTGATTCCAAATTTTCCAACAATTTTTAGGAAAAAAACAATTGTTATCGTGCGACAAAAATGGTTAAATTAACGTTTTATATGTGTGTGACAGCATTCAAGCTATCGCGTTTTAGTAAGGCATAATAGCTAAATTGGGTAAATTTCTCGAATTCGCAAATGTTTTGTAAAAGTAGTGGATGGGACAGCTATGTAAAACTCATACTATCTGATTCGAAAAATGTTGAAATTGTTGAGGGCTTCGTCCCCGAGTAGAACTCACACTATCAGATTGTGTCAAAATTTATGCGGCAAAGCCGCTCTAAACTTTACACTATCAGATTTTGTCAAAATTATAACCTCACTAGAAATCTATTTTTTGTTAGTTCAGTGGATACATCTAGTTTTTGTTACGTCGATAGAAATAATAAATTCATGTCATAACCTCAATTAAAAAAATAAATTAAATTACACATTCCTTGGGCACATTTCTCTTATATTGGGCTCTCATAAAAAAACAACAACAATTCAGAAATCACTACCTAACTATTTCAAGTCGACCAGTGTACAAATTTACTGGGTTTTATATTGTTTTTGGCGTACGTTTCAAGCATTATTTCCGTCATCTGAGAATGAGAGAATAACCTTAATTTACACATTTTTTCGCCAAAATGCTTAATAAAATAAAGAGCTCTTGTGTGTTAAATAACACTTTTCGTGTTTTCATTTGACTTTCTTGAAGAGTGTGAAACACATGGACGCGAATTGTCAACAACTGTCAGAAATGTCAGATTGAATGATTGAAATTCAACGCACTCTTGGTTGTCTTTTTTCAAATTTTCATTTTTATGGAATTTTGGCCCAAATAATGTTAATTAACGAAAATAACCCGTTCGTTGCAGTAAAGGTAGGATTGAATTTTCATTTTTCATCATCGTTTATTGTCTAAACTTTCATATTTTTTGCTATAGTGTCTAACAAAATTGCTCTAACAATTGCTATTTTGTGCGAGAGAGATAGTTAGTTAATTTTTACACGGGTTGAGGGCGTTGGAGCTATTACGTTTTAGTAAGACATAACAAAAGATAAAAATAAAAAAAACTTAAATAACAGATAAATAAATGTTTTATTTCTGAAGTAAGAAAAAAACGAACAAAAAACAAATCGTTTTTCAGGTTTTGTTAAGGCCGATTAGTTTGATCTGTTAAATGTGGGTGGAAATGGTCGAGTTTAAGAGCATCCGTTTGCCGGCTTAGCTTATTATGTGCGTAAACGCTTCTGGGAAGGCTTATTGAAAATCAATTGGCCAATATACGAGGATATTATTGTAAATTGGCACGATTGGTGCGTACTTCCCCTGCATTATTTTCCACTTTTACGCCAACATTGTCCCACGCGGGCGAATAACGTATCAATTTGAGTCTGGTGGAGTCTGACAGAGATATAATTGAACGCGGCTTATGCCATGTGTATCCAAAGTCGTATCGTTACGATTAATATCCTTCATACATATTCATCGCAAAACAAGCCACGTTTCATGCTCGATTTTGATAATCGCCACAAAATTAATATGGTAATGGTTGTGACACGTGCTCACAATTTCGAATTTACTACAATTCTCAATGGATAGATCGAACTGAGAAATATCTACGAGAAAAAAGTCCGGAACTGCATTACGTTAGGGAGTTGAGGAAAGAACTTGGACGAAATTAAGACCGAATGCTTTCACGTCGGTAAATAAGTTGGCTACTGAAAAACAACGTTAAAATATATAAACTTGTATCTTTACTTTAAATTTTAACTTGTATTTTGTCATTTGTCTTGTTCTTTGTTTTCAACCAAATGCGTCAAATTTAGCCCATTTTGACATAACTTTTTTGGTATTTTTCAACTTTTTAGCTATTGGTACTTTGAATTTTTTACTTTTGCTTAATTAATTGTAATTTAACATCAATCATTTTATGCTTAATAAATTCAGAAGTTTAAAAAAAAACTTTCACTCTACAGTGTTCTCCTAATTGAGTTTACAGGAGAAAAAATTTTTTCGCCAGAACTTCAAAGGAATAACATTTTTTGCTTAACCTAGAACGAGAAAATCTGTAATTAAAACTTCATTATTTTGACTCAGTGGAAAGAAAAATAACTTCACAGTTTTGGCGTAAAATCAAAGATAAACATTGTTTTTCTCTTGTAAAGTCAATCCGGAGACATTCTCTACAGTTTGGATATAAATATAAGATATGACTTAAACTTTTAAAACTATTTTATAATTGTTTTCGAAAAAATATGATTATAATTTATATTTTTCTACGACCCTAAACAGAAAGCAAGTTTTTCTACTACAATTTCAGAAAGGAAAGTGGCCAATTGCAAGAAAAATTAAAAATCTTTCTTTTTTCATCTAGTAAAAATATAGACGGTGAATAAGAAGCAGGTATGGATCTAAGCATTTTTTTAATAATTTGCATTTAAAAATAATAATTAATAAAGATTAAACTGCTATAAAACTTGTGATCGTGTTTTGAGAATAAAATCTTATTTTGTTTTTGAGTTATGCGTTTTTTTGTCAAATTACCTAACAACTTAATTGGATTTCTTTTTTCATAAAAATTGAATAAAATGTAGATAGTTTTGGTAAAAAAAGTTTTATAGCGGGTTATAGTGAAAAAAAAATTTTTTGCAGAACTCAACAAGAATAAATTCTGAACATTTTATTCTACATTTTTAAAGTATTTTATCAGTTATCACTCATCAATTAGTTTTTTTTTAAATAAATAGTTTCAGCAAAATTCGTTTGATTCTTTTTATTCACCCTGTATATAACCTCTCTTATACATGCTACTAGATTTAAATTAATGGCAATTCTGAGGTACCAAGAAAAATTGTTAGTTTTGAAGTTTTTCTTGCTGAGTCCTAAGAAAAATAATGTGTTACACTGGAGAAAAATGCTTTTTTCTTCTTTGAACTTGTGGGAAGAAAAGATATACTTTCTTTTGCTCTTACGTTTTATACAAAAACTATTACTCGTTATTTTGATATTAAAGAAATATACAGAGTAATTTTTAAATAATAGGCAAAATTTTACATTATAACATACACAATAAAAAGTCTTTTATTAAATAAATGCAACAAACTGTTAACTTTCTGTTAAACAAATTCTAAATGTAGTTGTGTTTATTTTATATTTTAAACAACATTTGTTTTCTAAAGTAAAATTAATACAAAATACGTTTTAATCAAACCTGACCCAACTTGACATAACCGTAACACTGAAAAACACACCTAAAGCATAATTACGGTAATTAATTTAAAACCAACCTGTATATTGTGTTAAAAATAAAAGAATCTAAACTATTTGCTTAAAAAATTACTAGCAAAATATTTTTTAATTTCTTTATTGTAGAATATAATTTTGAAATAAAAGCTTTTCAGACTGTGCTGCTCGGTAATAATTTGCTCTAGTATAATTAGGATTTTAAATCTTTTTGTATCGTAGATTTGTTCCTACAGTAACTTAATTCGAAAATTAATAATAATTAATTTCTGGCAAAAACTGGTAATTTTTT